GGTTACATTAAAATAAATATAGTAATGCGGATTATTTAAATATAGCTATAAAAATATCACTTTGACCATTATATAGTTTTGTAGCATTTTTGCAAAAGATCAAGGGTAGCTGGCTACTCACAGACGCGCAGCATAGATTTCGGCCTAACTAATAATACCACCAGCAACCTACTTTGTGGCAGATGTGGTACCAACACTGGACAGTGAGGGGCAAACCGAAGTTGCAAATTTTGATTTAAAAAAAGCGTTCGATTTGGTTACAAATTACGTCTTACTTAGAAAATGGGCTGCAGTCGGTTTCACTCCACACTTGCTTAAATTTATTGCGAGTTATATGAGTGGCAGGCAGCAGTATGTTGACTACGCAGGGCATGAATTGAACGCTTACTACACTAGGTCAGGAGTAAGCCAAGGAACAAACCTAGATCCACTAGAGTTTCTCCTAATGCTTAATGACTTGCCGAACGTTGTATGGGATGCTAAGTGCTTACTGTTTGTTGAAGACCGACGACTTAAGCTTTACCTTCCCATCACAGACGTAAATGATTGTAAAAAGCTACAAAGCGAACTATACCGAGTAGTTGCTTGAAGTAAATGTAATCTCTTGCAGTTTAACATGTCTAAGTGTGTGACCATAAATAAGTTGCTCACGCGCACACTCACCCGTCACACATACCTATACGGTGGATGGGTTACCGTTGGATAGGGTTCATGGAGATAAAGCATATCGAAAAATAATAAAAGGAGCCAAACAGTAACCAGCTTGGAGAGTCGATATAATTCCGCCATGGTGGCGTCCGAGACTCCGCGTACAACAATAGCTGATCCGCTCACTATTAACGAACAGCAAATCCTCTTACAAGGAGAGCATGGTACGAAAGGTATACGAATCCGAGGAGTGGCTTTGTTCATGAGCACCGGCAGCGAGAGACTGGGGATCGCCTTCTGCAATACCTCAAAACAGAAATGGCTCAAAATATCACCGGGCCTTGCCTCCCTGTTGAATGGCAGCACCTTTAAAACAAGCATGAGACGCAAACAATATGAAGCGCTTCCAGAAATTAAACTGATGGGTCAAACCTGTCGACTGTTGCGAACGCGCAATAAAACTATTGCAATGTTTCCCGGCGTTGACTCAATGACCTGTTTTCAACAAGCATGCAAGGTGCTGTCCGGTATAGGTAGGTGGGGAGAAGTGGATGGCGTAACATCCAGAATAATTAGCGTGGATGCCGCAGTGGTGGCTTCCCAGAAAGGAAAAACAGCGGATCTCATGGGCTGTGTTGAAGCTTCAGAACATCATGAAGTCATCGTTTATGAGGACAGAGGTCAAGACCTTAGTTTCCTTAGAAAAACGGTCCAGGGTCCTCCAAGTGTCGGCTCTCCAAGCGGCTCAGAGCGCTTACAACAAAAATATTCTGAACAAAGCGCTCTGCAAAAACATGAACTCAACATCGAAAGGCAAAATAGGGAACGAGATTCACGAAGCAGCATGTGGGCAATAACATCAGCTATATGTACAGCTGTGGGTCTCGTTTCTTCACCCTTCAGAAGAAGTATGACCGGATCCACGCACGGGGGAGGGCATGTCGCTCAAGTACAACCTAATCAACCCAAGTCATCGCCAACAAGAGCCGCCATGGGTCACGTCTGTCCGCCGAAACTCCGCCATGCAGATACTCCCAGAGACCATCTCATAAACGCTTTCCTCGAGTTTGTCGCAGTAATAGAAGCTACAAAGCAAGTCAACTTGCGAACGTGCAAAGCGATCCTGCAGACTTACCTGCAGGGCAACGAGCTGATACTGGATGACAGGCTCGAGGCTGCGGAAGCAGTCATATACGACAACAGTACATCGAAAGTATTGAGAGGTGCGTCAATAAGTCGTAGTATGGCAGCTTATAACGCCACCGCAGGATTTGTGTCTCTGGATGAGAAAGAGACAGAAAAACACGGAGTTGTGAAATTTAAAACACCCCCCGAAGATTCCTTAGTGGTGGTTGCCAGGTGTACCAGGATTATGCTGGATGATGGGATCTTGGAAATGGCAAAATCCATCTCAGGAACTGGGCCGGACGGAGTAGTCTTTAGGGACTGGGATACTCCGATGTTTCATTGGACGAACGGTGTACCGGGATGCGGCAAAACTACTTGGATAATGAACCAATTCGAAGCGGAAAGGGATTTAATTGTCACCACAACAACAGAAGCGGCAAATGACCTCAGAGGCAAACTGTCCTGCCGAATCGGGGGATTAGTCAAATCTAAGGTCCGAACAATGGCGTCCATTTTAGTGAATGGAGTAAAAGAACAAGAGAGCTGCCACCGAATCATGGTAGATGAGGCTCTCATGAATCACTTTGGGGCCATTGTGATGGCTGCACGAATAACTCAGGCCAAAGAAGTCCTACTTATTGGTGACGTGAATCAACTTCCCTTTATTGACCGCGACAACCTCTTCCCCCTCGTATACACCCGCCCTGCACACATCGTGGCCGTGACCCGGGAACTTCTCTGCACTCACAGAAACCCAATGGATGTGGCATATGCTCTTGGTATTGTGTATTGTGGCATATACTCGTCTAAATCAAGAGTGAGATCCCTTGAGTTAAAAAGTTTTTCAAGGGCGCGGATCCCGAAGTCTCCCCCGAACACGTTATACCTGGTACACACTCAGGTAGAAAAGGAATCCCTCAAAAACCAGGGATACGGATCGGGTATGGGGTCACGAGTACTCACAATACACGAGGCCCAGGGGCTGTCGTATGCGGCAGTGGTGATTGTGAACACAACGGACAGGAAACAGCGGATACACGACAGTGTACCTCACGCCGTGGTAGCTATATCGCGTCACACTGACAGTTGTGTCTACTACACGGACATAAATGATGACGCAATCAGCAAAATAATCAGACGGGCGCTGGGTGAGGGTGAGCAGGGAATCCTGGATTATAACCTAAAAATGGCAATAAAAAATAGAGATGCGCTGGTCGTGAGCGCTCTTCTGGGTGGGGACGGTTCGTAAAGCCGCACAACTGCTGAAAAGGTCCAGATAAAAAAAAAAAAAAAAAAAAACATCATGGATTAGAGTTGTTGTATACATGTTTTGGTGTGTTCGCAAAAAAAAAATTGTATTTATTAAAAATGTAATTAATGTAAAGTAATATAAGTTTATTAATAAGACTAATAAAAACCACTAGCACTACTGCAATTAGCTTACTGCCGCGTGGGCGGGGACGTCATGCATTCGTAAATGTTCTACAGTCGGTGGCGCTGTGGGCTGGGTCGTTCCGTTCCCTACGAAATGGTTGATCGGACCGATTGCTGGCCTACACGTCATACCCGTGAACGGGTGCCTTCTGCTGGAACAGGTCGGCTCGCTCATCGTGCTGGTGGGCTGATTCAGTAGGGTTAGTCTAAGATAATAAGACTATAATAATTAGGCAACAACATAAAGTATTGTGTGTAGTACAGTGGTAGGCGTAGCATGTAAGATCTTAATAAAAAAAAAAATTTTTTGACCATAGAAAGTATGTACTTGTAATATGACAAGGGCACGGACACGAGTCCGTGGAGAAATTCAATTTTTTATTTATTAAAAAAAAAAAGCATATCGAAATCTAGGGTTTTTACTTAGAATGTTTAGAGGCTTCACAAATATGAGAGCTATAACGACGCTATATAATGCCTTAGTTAGAAGTCAGCTTGAATGCAATGCTGTGATCTGTGCTCCACATGAAACCAAGTACAGTCTCATGCTTGAACGAGAATAAATTCATGAGATGTATATCAGAGAGTTCGGGGATCGGGGTATATCCATTCTACCCATTAATGTATCTAACTCTGTTTGTCTTGGGTATGGTCGGAAATAATGAACTGCAGTCAAAGTCAAAGCATTTATTTCAATTAAACCATAGTTTGGTACTTTTGAAACGTCAACAAATACAAAATAAATAATAGTCTGTCAGTCAGTCCGTCAGTGAACTGTGAGCAGGTTAGAAGGCTACTCGCATAGGTGACTTATATCTTTAGAATAATCATGGGGGAAGATACATAATCCGGATATACTATATTGCGAAGGGTTGAAATGGTCGTGCCCGATGGACACGTGAGTCGTCGTCGCCAGCCGCGGTTACTAGTAGAAGCACGTTCGCAAACTAGCTTGCTGCGGGAGGCGCTCACGTGTGATCTCCGAAATCTAAGCCTCGATTTCCCCCCTTAAAAAAAAAGTAGTTATCGGAGGTGACTAATGAACCATTAGGATATGTAATGCAATACAAGTCAACAACCTCTAGAATTGAGTATTGGTTTATGATAACTTATTTTGTATGATAAATAAAATGATCGCTCTATTAGTGTACATTCGCAATAACCTTAGAAATAATTTAATAAATACTTGTATCATAAATTATTACTAACTTAACGTTGTCTTAAATAAAGTCTCTACTAATATCGTGTGTTCTTAAATAATAGACGTTCGACATATTATCGAACGTCTGTTATTTACGTTCGATATATTATCGAACGTCTGTCAGAATACTGAAGTATGTCTTTATGTTGTTTGTTTTTCAATGCAATTGTATTGATATGAGGAAAATAACTCTCTTACATTTGCATCGAACCTTAACTAACATTATCTGGACCTTTTTTGAAAAAAGGTATTTGTTTTCGGGTTTTTTCTTACTTCATAAGTAAGTATGGAATCTATAGGATACATTCTTATAAACATGGTTTTTTACCGTTAAATTGATGTAAATTTATTAGTTGTGTGATAACGACGTAATTTCTTATCATTTCAGTGTATAGAAATAGAGATGCCCCTCTCGACCTCGGAAAACTATTGAAACTGTTGCAATGTAATGAATTTCAAAACACTAAACTTCAATTCTTTGGTTACCAAAGAAAAACCTAATTTTATTAATAATCTGATTTATCTAAATAATCGTTAGCTAATATTTTTTTTTTAATATAGTACTTAATTACATTTAAAACTAGGAGGATAGTACAAAATAGGCGGTTCTAGTAATCAGATCTTAGGCGGATTTGCCAGAATAATTTCACTATGGTTTGACTTAATTTTATGGTTAATTTTGGTGATCTGTAATCATTTGCTTGCGCAGACGACTAGTAGAGAATAGGAGCAATTGATTGAGGTGTCTCCGATGTTATTGTTATTTATTTCTACGACACCGATATCTTGGGCCACCGAGTAGTAATCTTGCATGAACTCTTCATATACATCTTTCGGCCTGTTGAAAGGTTCGATAGCTTTTACAGTGTCTGAAAATAGAAACAAAGAAGTTATGCATTATATAAAATCAATACCTTTGCAATAAACACAATACCCCTCCTACAGTCGATAAAATACATAGGTGCTTACCACAGAAATATTAAATTATATCTGTGGTGCTTACTTTTCATAGCTTCAACACTGTCAAATTCGAAACGCATTTCTTTGCATTTCACATCGATGTTTCTGAAACCGATTTCTTGCATCATTTGGGTGACGTTCTTTTCTGGTTGCTGAAATATAAGATGAAATATTTATGTTAGAAATAGCTCATCTGTCTAAAAAAGTTCTGATAGAATCTAAAATCAGGAAGTAGTTTTAGATTCTATCAAGTTTGCAACAATGTATCGTCTAGATGAGTACCTACTGATAAGATTTTGAGATACTAGTCACTGTGAGTGGTCACGTGTTATCCTTTAACTTTTAAATTGACGATTATATTGTTGCGAACAATTCGCATGTTATATTATATGTTATTTTTTGTCGTCTTAAGTCTAAACTGCGTCATCACGTACGTATATTTATTATTTGTTTTTTACTAGTTTTGTACTCATTGTCGGATCGGGTGTTAAAAATAAGATTACAATCTAATTTCCCCCCTTTGTTTTCACGTAATATTATAATTTATTGCGCTAATTATATAAGAAATTGTTCATGATCTTTGTAGAATCTTTAGAGATTTCTTACGTATTCAGTAAGAAATAAATGTCAGTACCTGCATATCGTGATATGGTGATATAAACTTATGGACATCTTTCAACCAAGATTCCCATTTGGAGCACGCTTTCCTGAAACAGAATATTAAAGAAGAAGAAAGAAGAAAAATAGTTTATTTGCACACCGTCACAAGGTACAATAACAAATAATATAAAACAATATAGCAAAGACGGCGCAAAAAGGCCAGAGCTCAGCTTAAATGCCGTGACACGAGTGTGGTCGAGTCGCGGCGCTGATTTTCAGCACTTGCCCGTGACTTATAATATTATACATATAATAACAAAAAAATATATATATAGGTACATACAAATTAAAATAAACAATGTGATGAAAATAAAAAAAAAATAATAATAAGTAATTAATAATAAATCTCGCGAACTGAATGCATGCTTGACACTGACATTTACATCACAGATGTCACATTCGCTAATAACCTCAAGCGCACGCGACGACGCAGTAGGTACCGGTAAGCGGTAATGGCGTCCCCGTTTATACAAACTGAATGTGTATTACAGTATTAGGTACCTATTTGATTGAAATTCGGTACAAAAGGGGTTTGCAATCCGGGAAAAGAAATAGAATAGTTTCAATCACTGAAACGAAGCAAGCGAGTTGTCGTTTGACCTGGAGGACCAAGACAGCTAGTCAAACGGCTCCCCTGTTTGTCTAGCAGTCGACGTCTTTCGGCTGTTGATGATGATGATGATGATGATGATGACGAAAATAAATTCATTTCACAATAAATATAACCTAGGTACTGAATCCATTCTGACAATATTTGTTACCGTGGAATATCCCTTGGTAAAGACTAATTCAAAAGCCTAAATTCTGCCTGAAGTCAGTATTCTACGCGGACGAAGTCGCGGGTAACAGCTAGTTCTTTAATAAAATTGAATGAAGATTTGATTCATATTTAATGAAACTTCAATATCCAACTGGGTCAAAAAGGGGTAGAGAAATTTTAATTTTTTTAAATTGCAATAAATCCTTCTTAGAATCCTCCTTGGTGCCGAAATACATCAAAAAATTTTCATGTTCTAAAATTTGAATATTCGAAATGTGACAATAACGGTCATATTTATTTACTTTTTTGGTGAGGTGGGGTTGGTCATTGTTCTGCTTAGAATATTGTCAAATTGATTGAAAGAAGCATAAACATTCAAACGCAATTTGAAATTAATTGAAAATAAATAAATAAATTATTTTACAATGTAACAAAATTATTTAACTTAACCGAATGAATTAAATTACGCATTAAAAATACATTAAAAAACGTCGCCGATAATCGTGAATATAAATAAAATATATTTATTTCCGACTTTACTGTTTACGTTTCAATATTTCATTATATTTTTGTGATCGAATATTTCCTAGAAAAAGGGATTTTTAATTTTCAATATCTTACGACTTATGATTAACATCAATTCCAATGCATACAAAATTTAGTCGATTAAAAATTACGCACCTGATGACCGCCACTAAAAACCGTAGAACCTTCGTAGAACTAAGAACTGTCATTATATTAAAATAGCGCAGAAAACATTGTGAAAACATTGATGTTTTTATGTTTAATTTGGATGAATAGTGATAAACATTTGGGCAAATATTTATAAATATCATTGAGTCCGTATTCTGTGTTAACACAAATACCTGACAAGTAAATAAAAATATGTGTAGTTTATGAAAAAACTGAAGGGTCGACAGGTCTAGGTTCGGTAGGAAATATTGTATCTAAATATTTTTTACTAATTTTGTACGATATTATTAATGAAAAGTGGTCACAATACGCAACTTCATCTGCATTTCATCAAAAGATAAAGTAACGCTATAAAATGGTCACCTAATTATAGGACCTAATGAAAATTCTTAGTTGAAAATAATGATAATTTTTGTATTTTGTGATGTTTTCATAATGATTCAATTTCATTTTGGGACGCCCCCTCCCGACGGCCCCATTCACATCCGCTCTGTATACTTCTTTCGGTACTCAATTTTTCATCACCTATCATTACCTGACATTCTGTTATCACCTCATTTCTTTCTATCACCAATGTTATATATCTATGTATGATCATGATCACCAACACTTTTGTATATAAGAAGGCCGTATATAATGAAGTCGGTTAAAAAGGTGTAATTGCTCTAAATATTGTATTATACTAATTATACTTCAAGGACGTTGAATAAATCGTCGTCATATTTTCGTACTAACTATTACTTACAAATAAAATATCGAATATACCGAAACTACTATTATTTGGATGGAATTTAGTACAGATATAGTTTATGATTCGAAAAAGGAGAAGTTTAATGCCGGAAACCCACAAGAATGGGAAATCTGCTTTAAAATTCCGGGACTCTTCTATTTTTTTTTAAATATTTGGTTATAATAAGATACCTACAACTACCGCTCGAGACCTGATAACAATATAGGCAAACCTTTAAAGAATCAGTATAGAGCATATTATAGAATAGTTTTATTTTGAAACTACCACGGAAAGGGGAAATCTACGTTTAAATCCCGGGTCTCTGTGTCTTAAAATCCACTGAATCTATTTGACTGAAATTACTTATAGTAATAATTAAAGTCTCAAGAAAGGGCTTAGACATGTTTTATCCCAGAAACCCTACGGGAACGGTAACTAGGTGTTGAAATCCCAGGATACCATTTATTACAAATTATCAAACTTATTTAAGTGTGGGAGAGCTATGCTTCGGCACGAATGGGCCGGTTTGATCGGAGTGATACCACGGCCTCATAGAAAACCGACGTGAAGCAACGCGTGAGTTGTGTTTCTTCGCGTGAGTGAGGTTACCGGACGCCCAATTACCCTCCCCTTCCCCAATCTCCCCAATTCCTGAATCCCCAACTATCCTCACACTACTAATCCCCAAAAACCCGGTAACGCACAAATGCAACGCGTTCCAGGCGTTCCAGGTATCCAAGGGCGACGCAGATTGCTTACCATCAGGTGATCCGTCTACTCATTTACCGGCTTATGCCATAAAAAAATGGTCATTTTAGGTCTAAAATGACCATTTTTATCAGGTCTGAAAATAGGGCCTAGGTAAGTTTTATCCCGGAATCTCCCCGGGACCGGGAACTATGCGTTAAAATCCCGGGACTCTACTTATTTAAACTATTGAGCATATTTGACAGAAATTCCGTACGATTGTAGACTGAATCCCAAAAGGAAATAGTAACGAGAACTACGTTTTAAAATCCTGGAATGCAAATTGTTTGAAACTACTAGACCCATTTTACTGAAATACATTTATAGTTTGAGACTCAAGAAAGGACATAATGGTTTTGATTCCGAAAATCTCACAGGAATGGGAACTGTACGGGTAAAACTGACTACACTGTGTGTTAGATAAATCTTGACGCAGATTAGGGTGAAATATATTACAACTTTTTTTAATGAAAATCCTACGGAAACAAGACCCATGGGTGTAAAACTTAGAACTATAATTGTATGTATTTTGAACCACGTAATCTTTTACGTGCGTCACTGCATATGTGCCCACTGAAAATCAGTGCTGGGTGACTTGTATGCCTGGCTTACACTAAGTGGGTGACCCTTTTAGCATAAGCATTTTGTCAGCGTCTCTCTTCTAATTGTTCTGTTTAAATTTTCAACTTAATATTTTTATTACTGCCAAAAACTAAACATCCATACCCCAGAATATAAGGCGATAGATAGAGAAGTTAAAAGAAAAATCCGCTCAGATATTCGTAATTACAACACACAACTTATAAAAACCACTCTGGAGAAAAACCAGTCCCTTAGAACCGCAATTAGAGGCATAGAAAATGGATAAGTAACAATAAGCAACCTCAAAGACAATTCCGGAGTAAAACAGACGGATAAAGAAAATGTTTTAAATGTTTGTACATAATATTATAAATCCATTTATGCTGCCGATAACAGCAAAGAGCACACAAACAATATATACTCATATTCAGAAAATAATTCACTTATTACCGGCTATGAAGTCCATCAAACCTTACTAAACATGAAATACAGCAAAACCCCGGGGGAACATGGTATTACCACAGAATCATTGAAAATAGGAGAACAAATTCTGTTGCCTCATATGACCAATTTGTTTAACTCCATATTAAAAACCGGAAAAATACCCAAAAACTTTTGTCACTGAAATATTATATTATTACACAAAAAAGGTGACAAATCAGATTTGGCAAACTATCGACCAATAAGTCTAGTATCTCATTTATATAAAGTGTTCATCAAAGTAATAGAAAATAGAATATCTGGAACATTAGACCAACATCAACCGGCCGAGCAGGCAGGCTTTCGACGCGGCCTCACTACAACGGACCACCTACATACTCTGAACCAGATTATAGAGAAATATTTCTAATTCAATCTCCCTCTATATATAGCATTCATAGATTATTCCAAAGCTTTCGACAGTCTCGTCCATTCATTAATATCCACAGCACTAAACAACCAAGACATCTACCCCACCTATATCTATCTGCGCCAACTAGTTTCTTTCCAGGAGGAGACACGATAGAGAAGTTGCTAGACGCACCGAAAATGCCTGGAAGAGCTATTGGTCCATGAAAGACCTAATGAAAGGTATTCTTCCATTAGCGCTCAAAAAGACACTCATGGACGTGTGCATTCTGCCCATCGTCACCTATGGCGCTCAAAATTGGTCTTTGATAAAACATCAGAAATCCAAACTCAAGGTTTGTCAGCGGGCCATGGAGCGCAGTATCTTAGGAGTTCGACTATCGGACAGAATTAGGAACACCACGCTGCGCTCAACAACTAAAATCGTTGACGTTGGCCATAAAGCCGCAGGCTTGAAGTGGAACTGGGCTGGTCATGTCTGCCGCATGTCAGACGAGCAGTGGGCATAACTTACTACTGAGTGGAGCCCACTCAACGTCTGTAGACGTTGCGGCAGGCCCAAAAGGAGATGGCGGGACGAATTAGACATCTATGACAAGGCTTGGCCGCAAAAAGCTTTACATAGAGAGGAGTGGAAGGAGGGTAGGGAGGCCTTTGCCCTGCAGTGGGACGATCATGGCT